TACATACATACATACATACATACATACATACATACATACATACATACATACATACGGATAAAAAGCTGGACAGACAGACAAGAAAGACAGCTAGCCAGCCAGACAGACACACAGACAGACAAACAGACAGACGAACAGGTAGACAGACAAACAGATGGACATTCTTGCAGAAACTATGAGACAAAAGAACTAATTGTGAGTACCAAATCAAGTCTCAACACGCCTTGAAAACCTGTATAAAGTATCCTAAGAGAAAAAGAAAGTGCTTACTAGAGATGAGGAGCAGCGACACAAAAACGATACAATCCCGCAGTTGAAAAGAAGCCTCCATCTTGTGTACCAGCCTGTCCGCGAATATGGCACTACTTGACCGCTGACCACTGTCCAGACGATGCCAGTCAAACTGGGCATCGAGCGGTTACACTTTCCTTCATACTTTGAGATAAGATCATGTAGTTTTCATTGACAGGTCAAGGTTAATGTATTATCTTTGCCTTAGCATTAATTTAAAATCATAATCCTACCTGTCTTACCATTCACTTGGCATCAAATTCAGTACGTTCTTCATGGAACTCCAAGGAAGATTTGCAAAAGGTGCTATACATTACAAACACGCACAAACGCACACATAACACACACACACACAAACACACACACACACACACACACACACACACACACATACACACAAAAAACCCTTCAGTCGCACGCATAAGTGATAACAAACAGAAATGAAAGTATAGTTAATAATAGACTAATAATGTTTGGGCTAGATACATAATCGATGTTATAATATCATTCTGAATTCTGATAAAACACGATTAAGGGTATCGTCGAACGTGATGATATCCTTATAATATTGCATGCTGTAAAGGTAGATCTAATAGGAATGCTAGATCTAAATATATTGAAAGATGGTTAAAATTGTAGGGGTTAATTTATTATTTTGAATAGATGGTGTTGAAAATTACCTTCTCATGCATACTGCAGAAGCGTAAGTCTTTTGCATCTGATTGATATTTCTATTTATGGGAAACAAGTGATGTTGATTGGTTGTTTGAATAGATGGAATTAATTTTCCAAATGCGGTCTGGAGTCGTGACAATAAAACATAATACGAAAGGCATCGTGGTGAAATTAGTTACTCGTCAGAATGATAAAATCGAAGACGCCGATATTTTTATCGATTTAAAATAATGTTTAAAAGATCGCTCAACATCTCACTGTAAATTCATTCAAAACACATTTCTGTGTGGATTTCGCAGAAAAAAAGTAAATTTGCAGCTTCCACGGACACTCAATCTTTGGAAGTAACCAAACTCTAGCGGCTGTTTTCTCGCTGATTTTATTTCTGAGAGCAGGTGACTGCATTTCCTTCAATCGCAAAATATCTTGACATCTGTTCAAGATAAATAGATAGGTTTTTAAAGATCAAAAGTCAAAAGTAAGACAAAAGAACAAACTCTAGGATGATACTAATAACTTCATATCATCATCATCTTCATCAACAACAACAGCAACAACAACAACAACATCAACAACAGCAATAACATCAACAACAACAACTGCAACAACACCACTACCAGCAACAACAAAAAATACTGACGAGTACCTAATTCTGTCAAGTCGTGACATAAATTATTCTTTTTACCCAGCGGTTTCTCCCCTAATAAACATAGTTATTAATGTCCTATATATTTTATAGGCTTGCTTTTTTATTGTTCAAACCTAAACACGGGAGACTGGGGGTTGGATTAGGAAGCAGGAGTCACGACTAGATCGTAACTAGCAAAATCAAAATAATTATGCTGATCCAGTTAAATAAAGGGCGTGGTGTAAGTCACACTTTACTAAAAATAGACATCTAAGTATCACGACTCACACCAAAGGGGACTAGAAATGACTGGGTGGGTTAACTAAATCAAGCTATGGCCTTTTTATT